GGCCTGAAGATTTGATAAAAGAGGGCAGTCTCCCGAGCCTCTCTCTCTCTCTCTCTCTCTCTCTCTCTCAAAATCTCGACTGTAACCGAGCAAAAAACCCTAAGAAGCGATGGCTTTCCGCTACAACAGGATCACCGGCGGCGGTGACAAAGCGACGTGGATGCCTTTCACACGCGTCGTCGTCCAACTCCCGCGATCGTGAACCGATCGAGAGAAGGCCCCCTCCGACACCCGACGTGTCTCTAAGAAGCTCCTCTGGTATGGGGTCCGAGGAGAGGCCCGCTAACGGCGGAGATGGCGTGAAGCTTGGAGCGGCTCTGAGGAGAGGGAGCGGAATGGCGGTGGCCGGTGAGCGAAGGATAATGGAGCAAAACAAACACAACGGTGAACGGGCGGCGCAGAAGGCCGAGTCGACTGTGGAGTTCTACAAGGCCGGCGATAGAAGTAGGTACGATTGCTGACTAGAAATTTGATCTGAGGATGTAGGATTAGAATTTGATTTAGGGATTGAACCTAATGGATTGAATCTATAGCTCTGATACCATGTTAAATTGGTATTGAGGAGAACTTGTTATTTGATGATCAAATTTATAGGGTATATATACACAAACAGAAGCCCACATTATACACAAACAGTAGCCCACACTAGGAGGCGGCTGAAACGACTTAGGTGGCTATATACATATAGGGTGGCTGATGGCTCATGATATTATCTTACATATAGATTGTGATTCGCTGCTGAGGAGCATGGTGCTGGGTGTAAATTTTGGTTTGTCGTAAGTTTGTAACTCCTTAGTAGACTGCTGTACTAATTGAGAGAAAACTGCAGACGTTCGCACTTCACGGGAGAAGTTGGCAAACTAGAGAAAATTTACTTTACTGTGTGGTTTCTGTAGTTTAACAACTTGATTACATCACTATACTTCTCGTTACACTCCTTGATCAAACTTTATATTTTCTATAGTTGAACAAATTTTCAAAACAGCTTCAAACCAGTTTTTTATTTTCAAAACCGACCCATTTTTTTTACCAAAATCGACCCACTTTTTACCACATCAGCTTAATCTCATTCCTAAACAGTCATGGTTGGCAATCCCGACTGTTTAGGAGGTTGTTAAACCCCAATTAGAAACCCTAAACCCGATTTTTTATGCCTTAAATAGTCGGGGTTGGCAACCCCGATTAATTAGGAAATAAGATTAAGCTGACGTGGCAAAAAGTGGGTCGGTTTTGGTAAAAAAAAAGTGAGTCGGTTTTAAAAATTAAAAACTGTTTTGAGGCTGTTTTGAAAATTTGTTCTTCTATAGTTTAGCCTATGTTATGTTTGAAAGAAATTTAGTGAAATTTAAAGGAAATAGAATGAGGGAAAGATCAATTTCTTCAAACTCTTCGTATGCTCATTTACTAGTGACTGGTGACAAATTGTATAGTATTTATTGCGGAGAGGTAGCATAATAACTTGTATAAAAACATTTTTTGAAAGTTTCAGTAGTACTATAGTAAGGTTTAATTACACATGGACCCTTATAGTATTGTTGTTTTGCACTTACTACCCCTCCGGTTTCGCAGTCCCCATAGTTTGATTTTTTTTCCCACTCTTTTGCTGTGGGCTAGACTCACTAATTTCCCATGGATAGAAGGGTCAACAAATTTAACACTAGGGCTGAGCATGGCTCGATCCAAACCGAAAAAACCGATCGAACCGACCCGAACCGATCCGAAAAAATCGGTTTTATGAATAGGGCGGTTTGGGTCGGTTTGAAAACTTTTCAACCCGAACCGACCGAATATAGTGCAATACTACCCATTCTGATCTCAAACCCTACCCGACCCGTCCCGAAAGAGTCAAAGACTCAAACTCTAAACTCATTTTCTGGATCATTATGGGTTAAAAACAATATCATTATATCAGTATTTAATGCTTCATAATCTCCTACTTTGTTGATATTTTTTTTCTTTAACACAGTTTGTTGTTTGATAAGAAGTTTGATGAAGTTAGAACCGAACAAACCGAACCGAACCGCACCGAACCGACTTGCAACAGTTCGGTTCGGTTTTGAATTATAGGCGGTTTGGTTCGGTTGTTCAAATTTTAGTAAAAACCGAACCGAACCGACCGTTGCACGCCCCTTTTTAACATAGGGGCCTATCTAAGACAAAGGAACTACTGAAGTAGTAAGTACAAAATGATGATAATGCAAGGGTGTATGTGCATTTAACCTTATAAATAAAGAAAGGATTTTGAGAAAATTTTAAAAAACATTATATTTCTATCCTTTCACTGGGAATTAGTTTCATAATTATTGTGCCGACTAATATGGATAATGTGCATTGTTATCTCAGGCTTGTGGACAAATCCTCCTCTAATTTTTATTTTGAAAAACGAAATAAAAAATCGACGCACCTTTTGTAATTAAATTTTTGCATAATTCAATTAAAAAAAAGGTTTAATATCAGAAAACCCCCCTTAACTTTGGGTGACTATCAGAGAACCCCTTTCAAAATATCAAAAAAAAAACCCTTAAGTTTAGGTGTTATTAAAAAACCCTCTTTTAACTTTAAGATTTTATCAAAAAAAAAACTCTAACTGTGTTATTAGAAAATTCTATTTGACTTTAAGATTTTATCACAACATCAGAAAACCCCCCTTAACTTTGGGTGACTATCAGAGAACCCCTTTCAAAATATCAAAAAAAAAACCCTTAAGTTTAGGTGTTATTAAAAAACCCTCTTTTAACTTTAAGATTTTATCAAAAAAAAAACTCTAACTGTGTTATTAGAAAATTCTATTTGACTTTAAGATTTTATCACAAC